ACGAATGTCTCTTAAAATAAGAAATTGTTTGTTAAAATTCTTATAGCCATAGTCTCCTACTAAACAAAATAGAATAACATAAGGGAAAATAGACATATTTTGGATTAATTATGATCACTAGTAATATCAAAAAATAATATTGAAGACCACCCCGATTGCTCCATATTCATGCAATAAAGAACTTTAAAAATCAAAACTCATTATCGACTCACAACTAAGCCTATCCTAGAAATAGGCTTATCTCAACCATTCCTCTAAGCTGTTTGACTTTTGTGCCTTTGTGCATAATTCTTTTCATCAAAGAAGTAAACTAGACCATAAAATGTATTTTTTTTATTAGCTACTCTCCTAGCGAGCCAAAACACAAGATATTCTCCAAATACTAAAAAAATATTAAACTGCCAAAAATTTAAAACTTCTTTGAAAATCAATCATCCTTCCCAAAAATTTTACATTCACAGGGAAAGCATCAACTCACTCTATGAATCTCACACTATGAATATGTGCTTTCAATAATACTAGTCTTACTTTATTAGTATCTCAACATAGAACTGTTTCAAGCTCAATTGAATCTCACTCTCAATCTTTTGAATTCCCCGAAAGCTTTAAATATCATGTAGAGCAAGTAGATACAAAGGAATTGCCTATTCTAGAAGAAAAAAAATTCAATTGGCAATGTACAGCATAGCATTTCTCTTAAATTAAAATCAAAATCTGGCTTGAATCCTAACATTACTTCACAACCAGGTAATACTGATTCTGAGGATAATCTAAACATTTATAGTTTTGCTCTCAAAAAAAAAAACTTCCTTCAATCACTTTATCAATCATTACATTTCCTGTTAAAACACTATCTCCTAAGTTTGATGCCTTCAATGAAAGCCTTTCAAGCATAAAAATTCCAAACAAATTCAAGAAAATTTAAAATATGTGAATGAAAAAAATGCAGATCATGAAGAGCTTTAGGACCTTTAAATAAATGGTACGAGCAATATTTCAGAATCTCCCAATGGGAAAAAACCTATTAGATGCAAATTGAAATGTGAAATACATAGATGATTGAAGTGCTGACCGTCACAAAGCAAAATTAGTTGCAAGAGATTTTACTCAAGCCTATGGAATTGTTTATAATAAACTTTTACCCCAGTTGCTAAGATGAACACTATCAAGAAGACTTTTTCTCAAGTTGTAAATTACACTAGTTACTCCACCAACTAGAATGAAAAATATGCTTTTCTAAATGGGGATTTAGAAAAGGTATCTACATGATAATACAAAAGAGACAGACAAGCTGAAAGTTTTCCAGGCCAAGGAATTTGAAATCAAACACCTTGACTTATCAAAATATTTCCTAGACAGGGAAACAACTAATAAAGAAGGGGAATATTTGCCTCGCTATGAAAATACTCCTGGTACTTATTAAAAGAATATGATATATTTGGATGTAAACCGAAAAAATAAACCAACGAATCTATACAACAGAGTTTGGAGTATGGAAGATTAAGCTCCAATTGACAAAGGTTCCAATGATTAGAAGGATAACATATCTATCTATCTCATATCAGGCCTATTTGATGTCAATTAGTATTGTAAATTAGTTTACGAACAAATCCATAAAGAAGCACCTAGATGTTGTACATAAGATACATCGAATCCTAAAAGGTTCTTTAAAAAGAGAACCGACGCGGTCATAGAAATCATCACTAATATTAGTTACGTTGGATTTATAACAAATCATAAATTCACACAAGATTATTGCTCATTAATATGAAAATACAGTCACATGTAAAAGCGAAAAACACCCTATTGTAGCTCATAATAATGTTAAAGCAGAATTCAAGATCCATGATCCATAAAATTGGTGAAAGTATTTGGCTTAAACAGCTTCTCAAACATTTAAAAGTTTCCATTACACAGTGTATACTAATGAGATGTGACAATCTGTCACGATCCGGCCCGAGACTTTGAATTAATCAAGACAAGAACAAAAATAAGACAGTAAATTAATTTTTTCTATTTCTATTTTCTATTACTATCAGTTATTGATCCAAAAGTAAATGAAAGAGCCACTACAAAAAAGAAATTAAATTAAAATATTTATAAAATTAATCATAGTTAAATTTGTTTGCGTCTTCTATAAATATTTTTTCTTCTATTACTCATTTTTTAATGAAATAATTAAATTAAATATTAGTTTAAAACAACAATGAATTACAAAATCAAGTGAGTACTCAAACTCCTAAATTATAGTAATATGAATAAAAAAGCAATATGAATGTTATTCGATCAAAGATAAATTAACATAGAACAAGAAACAATTTATTAATCAAATATGGCAATTCAATAAGTTTCATAATATTCCATTATACTATAATTTATCATTTTCTTATCTATAACCTTCTATTTATACAACTTCCGTCTAAAATTATATTAGTAATGTATATCAATATTAATAATCTTTTTCATTTACATGCCTGGATACAGCATTGTCCTGCTGATATCATAAAGAGGTGAACTTCATCATAGTCAACATGAATATACAAGTATGTGATGGCAATTATTATCTAATAAATTATCATTTTAATTTCATTTAGATAGCAGTCAATATACTTGTATAATATTCAATATTTATGATAATTTAAATAATATTGAGTATACATGTCATTCTTACAGTATAAACAAAAATTTAATAGAATCATAAATCATAATTATACAGTGATTTTAATATAACTAATAACACTAATAATAAATACATTTTGTATAAAAGAAGTAAAAATATTACCATAACATAAGAAAATGAGTATTCACCTCAACCTCAATTGTATTGCTTTTATTTTCTTTCCACTCTCACTTCTTAAGAGGAGCACCTATTCATCAATATAAAATATCAATATCAGTGCTAGCCACTATTATTGTTATTATTATTATCTTTTATTCTATTATTAAATATCATGTTTCTTTTAAGCCTGACTAGCCTTCCGCATAATTAAGTATATACAAAGCTAAAGATCCTAGTTGATGTTTATCATTTAGTTTTTGTAATTTTACTAATGTTTTTCTCTAGATAATATTGAAAGTATTCCTTATATTATTCTATTTCTTTAAATTACTAATACTATTTCTATTGAAATTTAATCTCATTTATTTAAATTACATTATTTTTTTAATGTTTAGATATAGCATGTAACTTTTAATAAATTCAATTCGATTAATAATTATCATCATTATTATTATTTTAATTAGTTTTTATTATTTATCTTATAAATAATCAATTTAATACTTTTATGTAATATGATAGTTAAGATTAATATTTTCATGTAATTTATTATTATTTATGAAATAACTTAAGCTTTATTTATTATTATTTATTAAATAACCTAAGCTTTATTTAAAGGACTAAGTATCTTGTAAATAATTATAAGAAATCAATGATTTTTATAATGTCATTTGATTTTAGCAAAACATAAGCACCTTAACTCCTTAGGCTCGGCTTGGCTTATAATCAAGACAAATTTGTTATACTTAGCCTTCTTCCTTCACACATTGCACTGAAGCTGCCTAGACATGCGAGATCACAAAACCCGACTCCCACACGTTATCTTTTGGTTAATCCTTGATCATCAACATGGCTAATCAAACACAAGGCCATCATTTCTCTCGATTGCATTCAATCGCCACCTTTTGCACTGCTTGCATGCGCTTGAGGTCACATGACGCTGAAAAATCTGCCTCAACCTATCTGGTTCACTTCCTGTGTCGAACAACCCTTCAATATGCTCATCAAAAGTCATCGTTTGTCTTGTTTTTGCTCTCACTTGGCTTCTTTTTCTCTTCCTCCTTCACACAAAAACTTCTTCCTATCTTCTTAATCTCCAGTCAAGCGTTCGACTTCCCTCACTTGACTCCGACGTCGACAAACATCTTCTCCTTCTTCCACACCTCAAAGCCAAATGTTGCTCTCCGTCTCAGGAATATCTCCACAAGGGTTTTGCTCGTAAGTCTTCTTCCTTCTCCACTCTCTCGCTCTCTCTCTCTCTCTCTCTCTCTATCTTGACTTCTTTGTCATCTCTCCAAATGGAGACATTCGTCTACTAAATAGAAACCACCTCGACGGTTATGTTTGAACCGACACTAAACTAGTTAAATTTTTTTTCTTATATTTCATTCTAATTTATTTTATTTTATTAAGTTATTACACAATCAAGCTACTGTCTATATTGCTAAGAATCAAGTCCACCTTGATAAGACTAAACATATTAAAATGGATAGAAACTTCATGAAGGAAAAAAAATACAATAATTAATGCTCCGAGTTAATTATACTCCAAGTCTCCAACCAAACCTTCCATTATGTATATCCTTACTAAAGCTAGTAATCAATCACAATCCGACAACTTTACTTCCAAACTAAGAATTATAGATATATATTGTTAACTTACATCAGAGTGTGGAAATCCTAGAATCAACTCCTCAATTCTAGCATTACAACAAATCTGCCTCAAATCACTTACAATCAAGGTCCCTTAGCAGCATTCCTCCATCCGCCATATGCTGGCTTGCCACATGTTGTTCACTTGTTCACCAGCTTAAAAGAAAAGAGATTCTTAGCTACAATCACTCCCCAATTTATTGTAAGCGATCAAGTTAACTTCATTCCTATTTTTTCGCTTTTGATTGGCTCTTTTTTTTCTTTTCTTTTCTATTATAGACTCGCAACTAAGGCTATAAATGTTGTTTCACTTCTACAAATCGGAATAAGAAAAGTTTATTATTCCTCACTTAAATTTTTCAACAAAAGAAAAACATGAATAAATCAGTTATGGGAATGTATATGCTAAATTAAACTAATAAAAAGAGATGCCATTTCAGATGTAGCTTGTAATAATTGGGATGTACTTCTTTTTACTAGCATTATAATATCTTCAGTGAAGAAAGAAGGAAAATTTTAAGACTATGTAATGGAATAAGACCATTTTATAGGGAAAAACAATAGAGTTAAACCTGAAAAATGAGACATCATCTTGAACAGTGTCTCCGTGTAGCCAGTTAGTATCCCAGCGCAGATTATCAAAGAAGAGCCGTGACCTAAAATGTGAATAAAAATATTAGATTTACAAGGAGCATTCAATCAACCAATGTGACACTGGATGAAGAAAACCCATAGCAAAGGAAGATAAGCCTGTTATATAAGTAGAATCAATGATGAAAATTTTCAAAAAGATAAAATAAAGAGCCATTTACATACGTACCACCCAATTCCTATGTATTTGTATATCTAAAACCTAAAGTTTATTTTTTTATATGTATAACCACCAAATTGTTCATATCAAATAAAAAATACCACCATTTTAATTTTTAAAAAGTAAAATACACCTTTCATGCGTAGGCAAGGAGGTGTGTATGTAAATTTTGATGTTTAGATGTTTATTCTATGTAAATTCATAGGAACTGAGTGATATGTATGTAGATCTTCCTAAAATAAAATACCAAATCCAGACTCTGAGATTGTGTCAGCAATCCATGTCATGGACATTGCACCCATCACCAACAAAAAGCTTGTGATCACAACGTGCTTTAACCTGACATCAGAAAATAAATCTCAACTAGCAGAGGTTCCGAAAATAGAACTAAAATTGTGCACGTTAATTCTCACTCGTAGTTAACATATAATGCATTAAGTTTTTCATTAATACATACTAAACCGACTGCAAAAATAATCGGAAGAGTTAAAAGAATGAACTAGGCCACTTCCAATAGATAAATGTTTCGGAAGGAAATGAAAAATTTGTTGTTTTTAAAATTCAAGTTAAGCTTAGTAACCTATTTTATTTCTAGCATCTAAAAACCAACATAATGCATACAAAAGTAAGATTCAGCATAAGCCTATATAATTTATACCCTTTAAAATAAGTCTCATCAATCTTGATTTGGAACAAAGCACTAGAGATATTACTACACATTTACAAGTTTTAAATCCATTAAAATAAAATCTTGCAATCATGATTTGGAGCAAAGGTGTAAAAATATTATGGAAGTAACAAAATCAAATTGGTTTTATGCCTAGAGAACTTTTTATGGAGGTAATTTTTTTCTTAAGACAATTAAATGAAAAATTATATGGAACAATGAAACAATCATTATATGAATTTTATTGATCTTGAAATGTGTCACAAATATTAACGATCCATCCACCCAGAATGGGACTAGAGAATCAATCAAGGAAGGAATTCAATCGAATCAATGAGTTGTCGATCTACCTTATTTTTCGACCGAATCTACATCCTCTATGGGCCATCAACTGCTCAGAAATGGGTCTTCCTATGGGTTTTAGAAGATTTAACATATTAACCCGATATACAACAACTATTGCACCTGCTTCAACCATTCAAAGGACTCCGTGTGGCTACTCTGACAACCTCAATTTGAAGTTTCCTTGACTCAATAACAACTAAAAGCCACGAATCCCCAAAGCTCTTAGAAATGCCAATTGTGGATCAACAACTGATTGTTCGATGTCTACCATGTCGAATCAAGTTGCTTCTTTATTGTCCATCTGTTCCACTAGGCATTCCTTTCCAATAGACAGCCAACTCGCCCTCCAGCAATGGTATCATGCCAAGACCTCATCCAATCAGCCCAACGCCTATAAATACCCCTAACACTAAAAATTCAAGGAAAGTGCACTTAAGCCCAAGCCAAATCATATATCGCACCAAAAAAACAAACAAAATAGATAAATAGATGGAGAGAGAGAGAGAGACAATGCCTAGTGAAAGACGAGTAATCTTCCTCATATTTTACTTAATAAAATATTTCCTCCCCATCTCTTATATTAGATGTAGGCTGGTAGGACAAACCAATTATATCTTCAATGTACTACTCCCTTTCGGGTTTGTTTTTTTTTTCTCTTATTTCTCCTACATGGTACCGATCAGACGCTCCTCATGCATCACGAAGCCAAGCCAATAACTCAATCAGCCTACTAGATTTAAATCAAAACCCCACTCTTCCTCTGATAAACTAATCAGATGTTTCATCCTCCTACCCATAGAACCTATTGTAAAAGTTCTAAGTTGTTAAGAAAACTACAGTAAAAGAGTCTCCATTTTAATTTCACCACGGAATATGATCATAGGATTCGAGAAAACCGGAATAAAAAAAATTTAAACACAGAAGCACAATCAAAACAACCAGAAAAATACACAAGAATTTTACGTGGAATAACCTGAAGATGGGAAAAAAACATGGAGCCACACCACACAATTTCCACTATGTAACTCAGAAAGTTTTATAAAGGACTCACACAAGTGTCTTCTCCAAACTCACATGAAGAAACTTACAGGATTTGCACCAACAATCTTCCATCTTAGATCCAATGCAAAAATCACGTTGAATCACCTAAATCCACCTCTTCGACATTCCTCGCCTTCACCGGGATGCTTGTCAAAGAATACAGAAGAAATAAATAATGAAACTCAACAAAAGAAAACTTGAAATCGGGATTAAAAATTGTAATCCCATCACTATGTGTTTTGGACGCGTAGGCACCCAAACTTGGGGTCGAGCTCTCGGGTAGCGGGTGCTTCAGTGCCAGAAGTGGGGGCCTAAGCTCCCACATTGGACGCCTAAGCACCCACATTGTGTGTAGGATTTCCATTTGCTTGGTCTAGGAACACCCAATGGGCGCTTGAGCGCCCATAGCCCAGGGCATGTCTGCAATAAAGTCAGCCTACCTACTGCTCATGGGTGCTCCAATCATACTCCACACCTAACAATCTCCCACTTGGAGACTGATAGCATCGAGTTCAGTCCTCTGTACCAGCACCTCAATCTGAATCGTCTTCATAATCACGTATCGTGGTGTGGCTCAATCCCGATCTCAACATTCATGAAACTCAACTGAATCCAAGCACAGCTTCAATTTCTCAACAATTACCACATTCATTAAAATAATCGCAGGATTTTCAGTTGTATGTACGTTTTCTAGAAATAACTACTCATCTTCTAAAAAATATCAAATGAAATGATATATGAGTTGAATGTGTTTCGTCCTGACATGAAAGTAGTGTTCTTAGTAAGATTAATCGCACTCATATGGTCACTGTAGAGCTTCCCAATCCTCTGCTCCTTGCCCAATTATGTCAAAAAATTTTGTAGTCAAGTCATTTCCTTGTTAGCATTAGTAATAACAACATATTCGGCCTCCGTAGTTGAAAGTGCAACGATTTCTACAACCTAGAAATCCAACTCACTGTTGTGTTCCCTAATGTAAAGATGTACCACGTTGTCCTACTGTCCACATCTCCTTCCAGATATGAATCTATGAATCCCTGTAGACAGATCCATGCATTTCCATAACAAAGTATCATGTTGATTGTTCCTCTCAAATACCTGAGAATCCACGTTACTGCCTCTCAAGGATGTCTGTCGAGATTGCACGTGTATCAGTTGACCACTCTCACTGCATATGGAATAATTAGCTTAGTACAAATCATCGCATACATCAAACCAACTGCTGAAGCATAAGAAATTCTCTCCATTTGTGCTTGCTCTGCTTCAGAGTTTAGTGATAGCTCTTTAGATAGTTTGAAGTGACTACCTAAGAAAGTGCAAACTGGTTTCACCTCACTCATGTTGAACCTTTGTAAGATCTTCTCAACATACTATGTCTGAGATAACTTTAGTGTTCCTGCACTCTGTCCCTGCTGATTCTCATCCCGAAAATTTTTCTGGTTAGACCTAAGTCCTTCATCTCGAACTCACTTGATAACTGTTTCTTCAAATCCTTAATTTTTCTCCATATATGCCCCTGCAATCAGCATGACATCAACATACAAAATGAATAAAATATAACAGTTACTGAAGTGTTTGATGAAGCAATAGTAGTCTGCCTGACACTTCATATACCCATTGTCTAACATAAACATGTTAAACCTCTTGTACCACTGTCTCGGGGCCTGCTTCAAGCCATAAAGGCTCTTCTTCAATCCGCAGGCCAAACCTTCCTTGTCTGAAATCTTGTAACCTAGTGGTTGCATCATGTATAGCACCTCTTCCAAATTTCCATGTAAAAAAGCTATTTTTACATCCATTTACTCCATTTGTAGATCTTCTTCTCTACCAGACTCAGCACAACCATGACAGTCGTCATCTTCACCACTGAGGAGAAGGTCTCTATGTAATTCACTCATTCCTTCTGCTAGAAAACCTTCACAAGTCTTGCCTTGTAGCGTTTGTTACCATTTGACTCTTCTTACAGCCTGTAGACCCACTTGTTATGAAGTACTCTTTTGCATTTGGTAGTACCGTCAAAACCCAAATCTAATTTAATTCCAAAGATTGCATTTATTCATCCATGGCGAGCTCCCACTCCTTTGAATCTTCAACTTGAGTGGCATCCTCAAAGCACTCTGGTTCATCACTATCAATTATAATAAATAGTGTAAAAAAGGAGAATACATTTGTATGGGTTGTTTCACCCTGTTGGATATTCTGACTTCTGTAGCAGACGACTGAAGAACTTTCAGTGCTCCTTCTATTTGAGCACTTATTCTTTCTTCATCTTCGTGATCACCAGTACCATCTATCTCCACATATCTGGATTCTTCAGAAGTAGCTGATGAATTGTCCTAAGTTCTAACCCTGCCTTGCACTTCTCCATTTCGTTGAAAGTGATGTCCCTACTTTTGAAGAATTTCTGATTTCGATATTTCCATAACTTGTACCCAAACTCATCTTATTCATATCCAATGAATGTGCACTTGACAGATTTTGAGTTAAGTTTGCTCATAGACCCTGCATAAACATGCACATATGCAGAACACCCAAATACTCTTAATGGGATAAACATACATTTTTGTCACTCCAAGCTTCTTCAGGTAAGCTTTCCTCCAAAGGTACCGATGGACTACGGTTGATCAGATAAACTACAGTGTTCACTACTTCAACCCAAAACTGTTTTGGCAAGTCTGCATGCAATCTCATGCTCCTGATTGTTATGTTCATGCACTCAGCTACATCATTCTATTGCAGTGTCCTTGGGACAGTGAACTCATACCTGAACCCCTCTGTAGCGCAGAAATTCCTAAACCTTTAATCACGATACTCACCCTCATTATCTGATTTCAGAACATCAGCTTCAAGTCTATCTCATTTTCTACAATAGTCTTCCATTTCTTAAAAACTTCAAATAAATTAGATTTTTGCTTTAAGAAATAAACTCATACATTTCTCGTGTGATAATCAATAAATATGACAAAATAGTGAGAACCTATAATGGACTAAACTGGAGTAGGACCTCATACGGCAGTATGAACTAACTACAGTTTCTTTAATTTCACCACCGGCCAACCATTGGAGAAAGAAACTTCTATTCGTCATAAATAAAATCTTCACAGAAATACAGATTAACTGATTTCAGGCCCTGAAGTTTATTCTTTGAAAATAAGGACTTCATACTTTTGTCGCTCATATGGCAAAGCCTAAGGTGCCACAGACCTGTAACCACCCTGGTTCCAACCACATCAATAAAATCAGTCATTTCATTAATCAGATAAAAGGCGCCTTCAATGTTGCCCTGAGCCATCCCCAATACCACTCTAATCACCTTCCACGAATCACCTATAACAGTAGCACAAGTCTTAACTTTGTCAGCTGGCTCACAGAGATAAGATTTCTTTTCAAAATAGAAACATATCTGACTTCAGTAAACTTCTAGACTACTCTATTTGACAACTTGATATCAACATCACCCTTTCTTACTATCTGCAGGCATTGTTATCTCCCAAATAAACTTTCCCTAGATCATTCTGAGTATAGTTTTAAATATAACTTTATTGGGGCAAGCATAAAAAGAGGCACCTAAATCCATTATCCAAGATTCAGTGTTGACTAGAGATAACACTAATTTTGAATTTCACCTGTGAAAACATTAATAGAAAGATTAATTTCCTATCATCCACCACCAACTTTTCTTAGAGCTTTGAAGTCCTTCTTGAAATGTCATTTCTTGTTGCAGTTCCAACATTCTTCGCTGGTTGACTTGAGATTTCCCTTCTTGGACTTAGATCTTTCTTCTTGTATTCCTGCCCAAATTCCTTCAATTGTTATCAGCATTCAACACAGAACCTGAAGATTCATCATTGGCTACTTTTCAGCAAACTTCTTCATTCAAAATCAGACTCACAATGTCATCGAAGTTCAACTTCGAAGCCCCTGAAGAATTACTCACAGTTGTTACAAAACCATCTCAGTTTTCTGACAATGAAGATAATATCATTGTGTTATGACCTCATCGTCAAACTTGATCCTCACATAACACAGCAGGCTCTTCATAGTGTTTAAGTTATTGAGATGCTCTGTCACTGAACTGTCCATCATCTTCACGTCAAATAATTTCTTCATCAGAAAAATTTTATTGGAAACTAAAGGTTTTTCATACATCTTGGTTAGTGCCGCCATGAAATCCACCATAATTTTCATATTCACAATGTTGAGCACAACAAATGAAAAAAGTGTCAGTCTGTCAAAACTAGTGTCGTTCAATTCAATACTTCTCGTTCCTCCATAGCCATCGATTCAAGCTTCTTTGTAATTCCTTATAGTGACAAGTATAATTTTTTTAATACAACAAATCCTCCACCTGCATCTTCCAGAATGCGAAGTTCATCCGATTGAACTTCTCCACCTTGAACCTTGCTTCTCGGCCATTGCTCCCACTCGAATCGAACCTCCTCCATGCTCTGATAATAGTTTGTTAAGAAACTACCCCAAAAGAGTCTCTTTTTTTAATTTCGCAGCGAAATAAGATCACAGGATTTAAGAAAATCAGAAAAAAAAATATATATAAACACGGAAGCACAATCAAAGCAACCAGAAAAATACATATGAATTTTATGTGGAAAAACCCGAGAACGTGAAAAAAACACGAAGCCAAATCACCACAAATTTCATTGTGCAATTCAAAAAGTTTTACAAAGGACTCACACAAGTTTATTCTCCACACTCACACGAAGAAACTTATATGACTTGCTCCAACAATCTTCTTTCTTAAATCTGACACAAAAATCACGTCGAATCATTGAAATTCACCTTTTCGACACTCATCACCTTCACAGGGAAGCTTGTCAAAGAATATAAAAGAAAGAAACAACAAAACTCAACAAAAAGGCTTGAAATTGAGATTAAAAACTGTAATTCCATCACTAACTATTATGGGCGCCTAAACTTGGCGCCTCGGCGCCGAGCTCTAGGGTAGTTGGCGGCTCAGTGCCATAAGTGAGCGCCTAAGCGCCCGCATTGGGAGCCTAAGCGCCTACTCGGTCTGGGAACATCCAATGGGCGCTTGAGCACCCATAGCCCATCGCAAGGCGCCGAGAGCGGGACACTGTTTGCAAGAATGTTAGCCAATAGTGAAATATTTTGGAAAAATATAGAGTTTAGAGGATAAAGGCTAAGTGCATGACATTTAAGTACAAAATATGAGGAATTAATAATTATTATTCAATAGTATTGGAAGATGAAGTCATATATGTTATAGGTTCATTATAATTTTTCCACATAAGATGTCTTTGAAGTAATTGAAAGTTGGAAAACCTATAGAGTTCATGATTAGGATGATAAAGATTGAGGACACAAAATGCCTTATTAGTTTGTATTAAATTAATTAGAAAAAAATATTGGAAGATGAAAATATAATAAGGTAGGAGATCTATTAAGTAAACCGAATATAATAATAATAATAAATAAATAATATTGAAAAATTCATAAAATTTGAAGGGGATGGTTTAGATAAAAAAGTGTCAAAAGGAAAGACTTTTATAAGAAATTTAATGGAGACTTGAGGTAGATTTCATCGAATTTCAAATAGAGTGACAATGTTACGTAATTCCAAATACTTGGGAATAAAGAAATCAATAACAAACAATCGTTGTAGAAATAAGAAAGCACATAAAAAGAAAGTGATTATAAGGGAACAATAGTTGGAGTAACACCTATTGAAGGAGCAAAGGTGGAAAAGAAAAATAGGTGAATTGGCCATCAACAACAAAATGTAGAAGATGCACTAATATGGTTGGAGGCTAAAATAAAGTATAAGGACTTGTAATGAAAAGGAGTAAACAAACGGCCAAGATTATTAAAAGATATAAAAAAAAATTAGATAAAATCGAAATAACAGCTCGTATGACATTCTATAAGAATAATTGAAGCTTTGATTAAATCAATCACAAATAGTTGGGATAAGGTTAATAATATGGTAAGGAAAACGTTGAATCGGTTTAGAATAATTGAACCTGCAGGTAGTAAAAAATAGCCTACCAAACAAGTTTATTTATTTTCAGTACTCTAACATTCTAGTTGGATAAGCTCAAAATTGTGAAGCAAAAAAACTCTGAGCGTGCAAAAGTGTCAAAAGGAAAGAATTTTATAAGAAAAGTTAATGGAGACTTAACGTAGATTTCATAGAATTTCAATTAGAGTCACTATGTTAAGTAATTCCAAGTACTTGGGAATAAAGAAATTAAAAACAAACAATTGTTGTAGAAATAAAGCACATGAAAAGAAAAGTGATTATATGTGAACAATAGTTGGAGTAACACCTATTGAACGGGAGGAGGTGGAAAAAAAAAAAAAAAAAGGTGATTTGGCCATCAACAACAAAATGTAAAAGATACATCAATATGGCTGGTGGCTAAAATAATTTAAAAGGACTCGTAATGAAAAAGAGCAAACAAACGGCTAAAATTTTTAAAAGATACATAAAAAGGTTAGATAAAATGGAAGTAACACCTAATATGACATTCAATAAGAATAATTGAAGTTTTGATTAAATCAATCACAAATACTTGGGATAAGGTTAATAATGTGGTAAGGAAATGTTGACTGTGTAGAATAATTGAACCAGCAGGTAGACAAAAATAGCCTACCAAACAAGTCTATTTCTTATTAATATTCTAACTTTCTAGTTGGATAAGCTCAAAATTTGAAGCAGAAAATTCTAAGGGTGCGCCTTCCAAGCTTACTTTTATATTTCATGCAAACCATTCAAATTTAATCCCAGAAAAAGTACACACAGCTGCAATTTCATATCTGAAAAATAGAATTTACTTGAATTGCAACACAACATGAAAATAAAAAAATTAGTTTGATTGGTTATTTCTTGAACTACAATTCTGCTCCATGGCCATCCCAAAGAAGCGTAGTGTGGGGCTTGATTATTTGACGAAGTTTTAGGAATGGAAATTTTTTCCTTACTTCCTAGTTTACGGAGCATAAGATGACAAAAATAGCCAAGCAAGTAAGCTATTGAGGAACAAATTTAACACGCAGAAAATTTTTATACCTCTGGCTTGAAGCATATATTGAATACTGAAGTGAGTAACAAGAAACAATAATAGCCTCCAGTACTGCAAAACCCAGCGAAGCCCACCATCTAATATCAAAAAGTAAAGTCATTTAGTCATCAGTGTAGCACAAGGACAGAATACTTGGTGGTTTTCAGAATCAGATAAGTCTCACTGCTTGAGATAAAAAACTAGACACACATATAGCCTTTGATCTTCTCATGACCATCCAAACCTTCTTTTCGTAGCCTCACAAGTGATGGCAAAATATGGCAGAGAACCTGTCACAGTAATAAGTAAATTCTTGATGGAGAAAAAAGAGCGCAGAAATAAGAACATAGAAATTAAAGAGTTTTTTTTCCCTCTTGTAACAAATTTCTGCAATGTTCCCAAGTCAGAGACTAGATTTAGGCATATTAAATAGAAAAAAAATATAACAATCTCAAGAATTATGTTCACCGTTGTATAATAGATACTGCCGAACTAAATTAATCTGGATAAGACAAATGATGATGAAAGCATATGAAATATATAAATAAAATTGCACAAGTCTGATAATTAAGAATTAAATCTGCTTTCATGATGAATAAACCCTAAGAGTATTAAAAAGAATCTAAAAGGAGAGGTTGGACATACTACCAAAATTCATTTCTTGTAACCTCAATACCCACAAAAGCAGAAAAAAATTATTGATGGTGCAAAACCATCATAAAATAAGGAAGGATAACTCGAGAGTTAGCACAGATGTGCCATTTACTTCGTTTCATTTAAAAGAGCAAATTTTGCCCAAAATGCAAGTTGAACAGCTATCTAAGTCAAACGCTCAAAATGGTCAACAACTGGAAATTAGAGACCAAGAAACATCTTCTCAATAAAATGAGATAAATGTAAATCTTTCGATAAGAGAATAAAACAGACACCTGTATCAAAATAGAGGCAGCAATCTGAGGACTAATCCCCAGCTGGAAAAGTGAGAGTTTTAGCTCAGCTGAAAAATCACCAAGTTCATCTGAGAAAAAAGGTACATAATTAATACCTTGAATATTTGCAAGAACAGATGCCTGAAACACTAGCTAAGAAAAGAAGGTTTCAAATAGCTACCAGATATGGACTTGAAACAACATAAACTTCAATCAACACAAAGATCACAAGCACTGAGAACTTAAAAATGTGAAATCAATATAAAAAGACAACATATGTTAATCAAAATCACTTTTTACGATGATACTCGTTACTCAGAACAATCTACTTGATTAAGGTGCTGGAGAGTTAGTAAAATAAAGCATTCTTTACTGAAATTTAAATAAATTTCTTGAATTTGATCAATAGAGATCCTGGTTGTAAATTTCGCTAGTACCTTCTATGCTCTAAGGAAAACAAAAACTGTGATAATTTGATTTCATAATATGACAAATGTTTACGGAATACAACAAAATTTCAGTAGCATATAAGTTCACGGAACATCATATTTAAAGCATTAGCAGCTCTATCAATAAATATTCAAAATTAACATAAGTTCTAAAGCATTTTGTCTATCTTTATGGTTTTCACAAACCATGGAAGGTAGCGGTATATAAGTTTTCATGCAACACCGTGTATCCAGTAAGACTAGAAAAGCACTTTTAGATGTTTTTTGGCTGGAATATTTGACCAGAATTTAAGATAAATCTTGCCAAACAATTTTTTAGTCACATAAATCCTACAACCTTCTTAAATACTGCTTTAGACTAAATCCCAAATTTATTATATCTAGAGGAAGTAGGATTGAACAGGTTAATGCTTCTGCTCCTCAAGGCAGCTATTGTTCTACTACATTTAAATCTAAATCATAAAAATATCTATCAAAAACTTAAATAAAATATAACCAAATCAAATAGTTGGTTCAGCAATACCAGGATTTACTAGATCTAGATTTTAGTAAATCCTAAATAAATTAAACTCAATGTTATTTAACAGATATAAACAAGTAAGGCGGCAATAAACATGCACCGTGAGACTATCAATTTGTTAGAAGTACAAACCAGTTGATCCTGAAGCAAAGCTTAGGTAGTCCTGAGGCATCAACCTCCTATCAAATCCAGGCAGAGGGATAAAGTAACCCACCCGACTGACCACAATCAGTAAGGCAGTCACAAACAACCTCCGCCTGATCTCGCTCCTGAAGAAGGCATCAGCCATGTTATCCACCACACTTCCAAGCCGAACAAAATTCAAAAATCGGTTTTTGTACTTCCCAGTCGTGGGAGCCAACGATTCTGCCACGGATTCCTCTTCTCGTATCACAAAAGAATTCACTTCGCTGCTTGAATCCACTATGACCGTTGGGGGATTGGGTGGCTCAAAACCGACTGAATCAGCATTCATATGTTTTCCCGGTGAACGGCTAGAACAGTGCACACGGTTACGCAAGATTAAGTGCCGTGAGGAAGGTGAAGCAAGAGAGGTTGTTTGTCTCCGGTGAGGACGCCATTTAGGATCATTAGCTATGGAGAAACTTGCGTCCTTGTACAATAAATGGAAACCTAATTGAAGAGCATAATCAGCAGCTCATGAGTAGCATTTCCAGGCTTTTTTTCTTTCTTCCTTATCGTATACTTCTTTATTGAGAAAATTGGTTAAGCTTTTAGGGTTTAGGGTATAGAATTAAGCGTAGATTAAAGTGGGCGGGAAAGTGTGTAATCGAGAGCTCACCTTCTCGAAATGGAAGAGGCTTGTGGTGAAATTTAGGGATACAAATAGACAGCGGGCTTAAAGTGGCTGCGTTCATGGCCAGGGCGGAAGCTCGGACAGACGGAGAGATGATTAGGAACGATGATACCCTCCTTCCGCCGGAGTAGAGAGTATTTGTGCCACAACAACGAACGTCGATTTTTAACATCACTCTAGTTTATAGCAAAATTTGATAAATAACATATTTATATATTCAATAATTAAAATTCTATATCTACTGATCGAATTCATGCATCTTTTTAAATGTCAAATTTATCACTCTATTATTTACTATACTCCCCCTCTTAAATTAATTGTATGGTAAATATGAAATCTTATGTGAAATAGTCTTTATTATTACAACACTCTAGTCTCCTAACAAGAATCTCTCTATAACAA